GTTCCTGCCTGACCACTTCATGACATCACAAGTTGGAACAGAGTGTTTGGAGCTTTGTAAATGTAACAGACTCAGAATAAAGATTTACTCAAACAAACACAACTCCAGCTCTGAGTGTGACCAGGAACAACAGAACATTGGAACATGGATTAAAGTTCTGTGTAATTTTAATCTTTAATAAACCCTGTGGTCTTGTCCTGGTTCTAATTTCTCACGACTGAGACCAAAATTATTCAGAAAAATTTATTATTTTTTGTGCAGTTTATGTGATTTCGACACTTTGGTCGCACTCAGATGAGAATCCAGTTTCAACAGGAGACTCAGACTCGATCAGTATCTGTGTTTTAAAACTTTGACAAACCGACTTTACACTTTCGATTTTCATGTAGATTTGTTCAAAGTTCTTGTATATTTTCTTGTATATTTTCTTGTATATTTTTGTATATTTTCTTGTATATTTTCATGTATATTTTTGTATATTTTCATGTATATTTTTGTATATTTTCATGTATATTTTTGTGTATTTTCATGTATATTTTCTTGTATATTTTTGTATATTTTCTTGTATATTTTCATGTATATTTTTGTATATTTTTTTGTATATTTTTTCATGTATATTTTGATGTATATTTTCATGTATATTTTTGTATATTTTCATGTATATTTTCTTGTATATTTTTGTATATTTTCGTGTATATTTTCTTGTATGTTTTTGTATATTTTCATGTATATTTTCATGTATATTTTTGTATATTTTTTTGTATATTTTCATGTATATTTTCGTGTATATTTTCATGTATATTTTCATGTATATTTTTGTATATTTTCATGTATATTTTCTTGTATATTTTTGTATATTTTCTTGTATATTTTTGTATATTTTTTTGTATATTTTTCATGTATATTTTTCTTGTATATTTTCGTGTATATTTTGTATATTTTGTATATTTTCTTGTATATTTTTATATATTTTCTTGTATATTTTTGTATATTTTCATGTATATTTTCATATATTATTTTTGTATATTTCTTGTATATTTTTGTTATATTTTCTTGTATATTTTCATGTATATTTTTGTATATTTTTGTATATTTTCATGTATATTTTTGTATATTTTTGTATATTTTCATGTATATTCTTGTATATTTTATATTTTTGTATATTTTTGTCATGTATATTTTTGTATATTTTTCATGTATATTTCATGTATATTTTTGTGTATATTTTTGTATATTTTTGTATATTTTCATGTATATTTTTGTATATTTTTTTGTATATTTTTTCATGTATATTTTGATGTATATTTTGATGTATATTTTTGTATATTTTCATGTATATTTTCTTGTATATTTTTGTATATTTTCGTGTATATTTTCTTGTATGTTTTTGTATATTTTCATGTATATTTTCATGTATATTTTCATGTATATTTTTGTATATTTTTTTGTATATTTTCATGTATATTTTCGTGTATATTTTCATGTATATTTTCATGTATATTTTTGTATATTTTCATGTATATTTTCTTGTATATTTTTGTATATTTTCTTGTATATTTTTGTATATTTTTTGTATATTTTCATGTATATTTTCTTGTATATTTTCGTGTATATTTTTGTATATTTTCTTGTATATTTTTATATATTTTCTTGTATATTTTTGTATATTTTCATGTATATTTTCATATATATTTTTGTATATTTTCTTGTATATTTTTGTATATTTTCTTGTATATTTTCATGTATATTTTTGTATATTTTTGTATATTTTCATGTATATTTTTGTATATTTTCATGTATATTTTTGTATATTTTCATGTATATTTTTGTATATTTTGTATATTTTCATGTATATTTTTGTATATTTTCATGTATATTTTTGTATATTTTCATGTATATTTTTGTATATTTTTGTATATTTTCATGTATATTCTTGTATATTTTTGTATATTTTCTTGTATATTTTCTTGTATATTTTCATGTATATTTTTGTATATTTTCATGTATATTTTTGTATATTTTCATGTATATTTTTGTATATTTTTGTATATTTTCATGTATATTTTCTTGTATATTTTGTATATTTGTTATATTTTCTTGTATATTTCATGTATATTTTTGTATATTTTCATGTATATTTTCTTGTATATTTTCATGTATATTTTTGTATATTTTCATGTGTATTTTTGTATATTTTCATGTATATTCTTGTATATTTTTGTATATTTTCTTGTATATTTTCATGTATATTTTCTGTATATTTTCTTGTATATTTTTGTATATTTTCTTGTATATTTTCATGTATATTTTTGTATATTTTCATGTATATTTTTGTATATTTTCATGTATATTTTTGTATATTTTCATGTATATTTTTGTATATTTTTGTATATTTTCTTGTATATTTTCATGTATATTTTTGTATATTTTCATGTATATATTCTTGTATATATTCTTGTATATTTTCTTGTAGATGTGGGTAAAGTTCAGGTGGGTTCTTGACTCGGGGCAGAGTTCATGTGGACGGAGACGAGTCACAGGAGCCAAACTCCCAAACTCATCCTGATCTGTTCAAACTGACACTCGGATCAATGCCACCGATCAGTCTGTCTCATCCTCTCTCTCACACACACACACACACACACACACATACACACACACACACACACACACACACACACACACACACACACACACACACACACACACACACACACACACACACACACACACACACACACACACAGACACACACACACACACACACACACACACACACACACACACACACACACACACACACACACACACACACACACACAGACACACACACACACACACACACACACACACACACACAGACACACACACACACACACACACACACACACAGACACACACACACACACACACACACACACACACACACACACACACAGACACACACACAGACACACACACACACACACACACACACAGACTGTAGGAGTTTGTTTATTTGTTTGGGGCTGTAATGTTTTAGTCACTG